ATATATATATATATACTTTAAACGATTGAATAGGTGGTACAGTGTAGAACTTGGAAGTATTTATTTAGTTAGCGTCTTATGAATTTATCATGATCAATTTTTAATGCATAGATAGATAGATCCTACTTGTAATTAAAAATACACTTAAAAATAATTGAAATAGACATAAAAATACTCTCTTTTGTTTTTCTTTCTAATCCAACAAACGAAAAGTGAATGAATAAAGTGTAAAAGCCGAAATAATATTTCTTTCTTCCCCACCCTCCACCAATTAATTGAGCCAGCACCCAACGGTCTACTATTAGAAAAATAATACAAAAATTATTTGAATCAGGATAAGCACCACCTCCTTTCTTCGCATTCCAATACACTTCAGTATCACCACCTTTTCTCTCACTCTTTCTTCGCTCTCTCCTTGCTTCTTTACCCTTTTTAGGTTCCTCTAGTTTGTTGTTAACTTTAAAAACAAAAAACCTCTGTTCTGTGCATCTCGTGCTCTTACAGTAACTAAGAATCCAATTTAATTCATGGGGATGGGGTTTGATTTTCCTTGAAGAATTTTTCGTACTTTTACTCGATATTGACGGAACGTACAATTTTCAGTCCATCCGTTTCAAATTTGCTTTTTGAGTGCGGTGCTTCTGCTTTTGTGTCAATTTTGTTTAGAACTTTACTTTTCATAGTCTTCTTTTTTTGTTCAGAAGCTCGATTCTTTTCTCTGTTCTTTTGAATTTGAATGCTTGTTCTTGTGGGTTGGTTTTAGGGTTTCATTCCGGTCAATGTGTGTTGTGGGCATTTGCTAATCCTGTCACCAATTAGTATTTGTGGGTTTTTATCTTTTCCGAAAACCCTTTTCAGATTCTTGGTGGGGTTTTAGCTCTCGAAGTTAGGGTTCAATTAATTGGGAAAGTTTCGTGATGGAGCGTTCAAGATGGAAATCTTGTATGCTCGCTACCGTTTGTTTGATGTCAATTTTCACTGCTCATGTTTGCTTTGGAGACACTGATCCACGTGATAGTAAGCCTTCATTTTCCTAATCTCTTTTGACTTATTTCATATCAATTTGTTTGATTGTTGACTTTAAGTTTAGGTATTTATTTGACTATTCCACATAAATCCTTATAAGTTATAACAGAAGACCGAAGAATCCTGTTGATGGATGATAGTTTGAGGGTATTTGGATGTTGGATTCTATAATAAACAAGTAAAAATGAAAGTGATAAAGTTCTTGTTAGTCATTCAAACCACAAAGCTTCTAATGTTTATATTTATATTTCAGTTTTGGCAATAAATAGTCTATATGCTGCTCTTGGGTACCCGTCTCTTCCTGGATGGTTAGTTTCAGGGGGAGACCCTTGTGCAGAAGGTTGGCAAGGTGTTCAGTGTGTCAATTCCAACATAACTGGGATGTAAGATTTATAATTCTTTAAAAAATCTTGATTTTCAAATATTTTCTTATTTCAATCAAGGTTTAATTTTTTTTTTATGAATGTATATAGAATTCTCAATGGTGCCAATTTGGGAGGTGAATTGGGTGAGAATTTGGGAGCTTTTGTTTCCATCATACAAATGTAAGTTCTTACTTTAAAAACTTCAAGAATACCATATTCCAAGTCATTTATTTATTTTTATTTTTTTGTAAAAATCTACTGTCATTTCTTTTTTATGATGATTTTTTCATGCAGAGATTTGAGCAATAATCACATTGGAGGTCGTATACCATCAAGCCTTCCAGTTACCATCAAGAGCTTGTAAGTTTATTATCAGTCTCCCATCCCATCAAGAAATTCAATGAAAGGAGGCCTTTTACGAATTTACCCTTATATTATTATTTATAAAACCACATCTTTCTTTGGTTTTGGTGTTAGGATGCTTTCGGGAAACCAGCTTACAGGGAACATTCCAGATTCTCTTTCCATGTTAGGCCAAATGACAGACTTGTAAGTATCCCATTTAAATATAATATTCATATAGTTTATGTTTGATATTTTCTTCTATTTCTCTTAGATCATTACGCAACAACAATTTGATAGGAGAGATTCCAGATTCTTTTCAAGACCTTACACCCTTAACAACTTTGTATGGCAACCCTTCCATTATCCTCAAATGTTTGAGTGTGTGTGTGTGTGTTTATGTTATTATTATTATTTAATTAATTTAAAAAAGATTATATGCTTTGCTGCAGGGACTTGTCTGGAAACAATTTAAGTGGACCACTGCCTCCTTCCATGGCTAAATTGTCATCAATAACAACATTGTGAGTATTTGACCCAAAAAAGTCCACATTTGACTTTGGGGACTCAATTAAGCAAATTTTAATATTCAAAATCAACAAGAATTAAATATCTTTTTCTAGAAGATATCAGTAGCTATTTTTAGTTATACATATAGTGTTTCGATGACAATAGTTTGTAGGTAAATTAATTGAAAAAGTGCATGTTGAAGTTGAATTTGAGTTCAGAAAGTAAGTTTTTGGGTGTTTTTGATTTGCAGACACTTAAATGACAATCATCTTACCGGGGTTCTTGATGTGTTGCAAGATCTTCCGCTTATATTTTTGTAATGTTATTGCCTTATTTCATTATGATTTTTTTTTCTTAAGTTATGCTTTTTTATGTATCTAAAAATAATTAGTTTCTTGTGATGCAGGGATGTGGAAAATAATCTTTTTTCTGGACCAATACCTCCCAAGTTGATGACCATTCCGAATTTCAGGTGAAGTAAAAAACAACTCTTGATTATGTAAAAAGTGTTTCCAAAAGATTAAATAAAAAGTTTAGCTAAAAAAGGGAATTGGTCAAAGACTCACAAACAGTTTAAAAGTCGCCAAAAGTGCTCAAGTGTTTACAGTATTTGAAATCACTTTATTCAAGAAGATAAAATCAACTTTTTTGAATTATTTAGTATAGTTTTTGTCATCATTTTAACATATTAGTCATTTATGAAATTAAAAAGATGGCCTAAAAAAGGTCTTGGCATAAAGATTTGCAAGTTTTGACGTGTCACACAACCCATCTGACATGACATTCTCATTTGTGAAGGGTATTTTAGACATTTGAATCGAACTATGTGTTAAATTTTGGATAGAGGAAATATTTCTTTATTTAGTTGCCAGATTTTAACCTAGTGCCAAATGCAAGAAATATCTCAATGCTTTCATTTATTTGTGTATTATAGGCACATCCTACTTTAATTTTGTACTTTCAGTTTTTCTCTTATTAGGACATCATATACTTTGAAAAATCAACCAATTTTAGAGTATGACATACATACATTGCTATAAATAATTGGGTAGTTTTTTAAAATACACTGTTTTTTACAAGAATAAACGAATCAATGAAAGTAAATCGTTACTTCTAGCATCTTATAACATATACAAACTTAATTTATGCAATGCAGAAGCATGGGAAACCCCTTCAATACAACAGTTATCCCTTCTCCTCCAGTCATATCCCCTTCACCATCATCATTTGGCCCAAAACCACCGGAAATTGGCCCTGGACTTCAAGTATTTGAAGAACCACCACCTGAGCCACCACATTCTTCCGGAAAGTTCAAATCTTTATTGAGTAATAAATATGTTTGGATTGGTATTGGTGGATTCTTGATTCTTATCATACTTGCATTGGGACTTTGCTTTTGTGTTTCAAAATGCTGCAAAAAAAAGTCAACGGTCAAAGTTTCAAAGATTGAGAGAGCAAAGAACTCTGTGCTTAACGACTTAAAACCATCCGAACAAAGAGAAAATGGTAAGCTTGCATGTATTTCCTTTTGGTTATTTAAAAAAACAACTCAAATCACAATATTGCAACATATTTTTGTTGAATATGCCATTTATGCTCCTATCGATTTCACAGATACCAAAAATAAGGATTCATTGGCAATGTCATCGGTTAAAGGTGAGAAAATTGAAACAAAACCTAAGAGCAAGAATGATCATGTGATGATAGACATGACAAAAGTCAATGCACGCTCTTTTACAACACCGCCCCTACTTCCTCAACCTTCTCGGGCTGTTGTGAAGCCGACTGGTGTTCCAAAAACTGCCCCTAGTCGTCCTTTGAGAAGTGTAAATTCTGCAAAGTTTTTCTCCATAGCATCTCTTCAAGAGCACACAAATAGCTTTTCTCAAGAGAATCTTGTTGGAAATGGTATGATTGCTACTGTATATCGAGCTGAGCTTCCTAGTGGAAAGGTAAGGTTTTTATCATTTTATGAAAGGGTTTATGCAAGAAACTACTTTCATAAATTTGTTTATTAAAGCATATTACTTTGGTAGATTTTTTGAATTACATTGTTGTAATAGATAGAAATGAAAGTAAGATGCTTTAATAAACATGTAAATGGAAGTATGTTGCTGTTTCTTGCATATGAATAGCTTGTTAGCATGCGTTTTTGATGTGTTGTGGTTTGGTGCCTTTAGCTATTAGCAATCAAGAAACTTGATGATGCAACATCTCGGAAGTGGAATGATGAAAGGTTTATGCAGTTGGTGACAAATGTGTCAAAGCTTCGAAATGAAAACATAGTTGGAGTTGAGGGTTATTGTATTGAACATGGACAAAGACTTTTTGTCTATGAGTATTGTGAAAATGGGACTTTACATGAATCTTTACATCTAAATGATGAAATCCATGAGAAGCTTTCATGGAATTCTCGAGTTAATGTGGCACTTCAAATCGCAAAAGCTCTCGAGTGAGTACATATTTTAACTCATCATTTTCATTGACTTAAAGGGTTCATAAGCAACATTTTATAGGTGTTTCTTTTTCATTTGATGCAAAAAGAACGACTTAATATAGAAAGTCAAGGAAATTAGACTTTCATTTTCTCAAATGTCTTTTAAACAACATTTTACATTTTACATTAGTGGGAAACTTTTAAAATCAAACTTTTGTATTTTGATTCTATTAAGGTACTTGCATGAGGTATGTCAACCACCCGTTGTACACCAAAACTTGAAGTCTGTAAACATTCTTTTTGACAATGAGCTCAATGCACGTGTATCGGATTGTGGTTTGGCCCCACTACTACCATCAAGCCATGTCAGCGAGGTAAAAAGTTGTTAATCCATTAAGTCACATGGATTATTTCATTTAGTATTTATTGAGTATTGACACCACAACTTTTATTTTATCAGTTGCAAGGGTTGGGATATGGTGCACCCGAACTCGAATTGGGAAGTTATACTTACCAAAGTGATGTTTATAGCTTTGGAGTCATTATGTTAGAACTTTTAACTGGCAGAAAAGCTTTTGACAGGTTATCTTTCTATCTAACATTACTAGATATTTCAAAAGACAATGTTGTAATAAGTTGAAAAGAAAGTAGGGTGCTATGATAATGTTGGTATTTGTTGTATTGAATTTTGGTGATGTGAATTTGTATAGTTCAAGGCCACGTGGGGAGCAATTTCTTGTGAGATGGGCGATTTCAAGGCTACATGATATTGAAGCTTTGTCAAGGATGGTGGATCCTTCTTTGCAATCCGCATGTTCTTTCAAGTCTTTATCTCGGTTTGCAGATATCATTTCTCTATGTGTTCAGGTTAGTTTCAATGTCTACTTTTTTTTTTTTTTTTTTTTTTTTCGTAATTAGGAAGTAGAATATAATGTAAAAATAAAATGTACCCTCTGGAGCACTAGCAGTATTTTTACTTCCTTTAGGGTTGGCATAATGAATGAGTTTACTATTTTGATATATTGTTGTTTCTATTTTATTTGATATATTTTTTTAATTGTTTTTGTTTTTGTATAGCCCGAACCGGAATTTAGGCCACCCATGTCAGAAATCGTGCAAAATCTCTTGCATATGATCCAAAGAAGCCCCTAAATGTGGCAAAAATTGAAAGAGCGGGGGCAAAAACGTAACTTAACCAATTCGAAGGTTGTGAATCTTGACATTGATCAAACTTTTCGTGTATGTTAGAAGATGTCTAAATGTGTGGAAATCGGTTGATTTGTAGGTTGTGTGTTTTTGGTGGTTTATAAATGTAGGTATTGACTTATATCATGAATCAAAATAAATGGACATAGAATTTAATCAAACTAGTGTCATATTTATTTTTGAAACAGCTCCAAAGAAAAATCATTTTTATTTCTTTTGGAACAAAGTGTTATTGGATTGTAAATCTGGATAATCAATCACTAAAATGACCAATGACCAAATGGGAGAATCCATAATGGATTTTGCCAACTACCTTTGGTTTTTCCAACTTATTGTATTATATGGTCCCACTAATCTTTTTTCATTTATTGTTTTGCAAAACGTATTCCCAAAGCTATAAAATAAGTACGATTATGAAAATTATAAAAGGTAGTCAAGAAACCAACTACGTGGCCTACTGCTAAGGCACTGGACCAGTGTTCAAGTTGTGGGTTTTTCAACTAAGAGTTGACTAAGAAAGGATATGAGGTGTCTTTGGGTCTTAAAATATCGACAAAACTGCAAAATTGGTACTCTGGTATTCAAAAAACTTTGGATATGGTCCAAAAAGTTTTCAACTTGCATGATAGTCCAAAATCAAGAATTTTTGATGAATTTGGTCCCAAAATCATGAATTTCCTATGAATTTGGTCCATGAAGCACTTGAAAGGACCGTTTTGCCCTTCTAATTTTTTTTTTGTATTTTTCCATATTTATTTTCATACTTTAATTGAAAATAAAAAAAAATGCTCACACTCTCTCTCTCTCTTTCTCCAATCGAATTTGGTCCCAACCCCATTCTTCATCATCTCCATTTATCTACACCTTCATTTTTCCGGCAACACCACAACCACCACCGATTATCACCTCATGTCCATTTCCTCCCTCTCTAGCTTCTCCCCTGTTCTCCATCTCATCCCCAAATCGTTTTAGATATTGATGCCGCCTTCAACCATCACCACACTAAACCTGCCCCCTCTGTCGTTTTCTTTTTCCCGTGACAACTAATCAATGAATTATTGTCGGAGAACATAACCCAACTCCTGAGCACTGATGAAGGTAAGACCAATAGTTCGACTTCATATATTCCAATGTTAGGGTTTTCAAGTTCCGATTTTAGGGGTGTCAAGGTCCGATTTCATGGGTTTCAAGGTCCAATTTCAGATGATGAACATGAATATCTTTGAATGTGTATTTTCTGGGTTTTAAAGGTCGGATTTTAGGGTTTTCATGCCCGATTCTGTAAAGGAAAACTGTGCTTGATGGATGGAGGTTCGTGTTTTCTCCTTCTGATAGGATTTGTTTTCGAAAAAAAATACATCTAGGTATTAATTTTGTTTATGAGTGTGATGATTTAGTTTTAAACATAAACGAAAATGGAAGGACATATCTTTGTTGAATCTGGTTATTATGGGATTCGATTATGAAACCAGATCTTGTTTTGCATAAAGATAATCGAAATGGGTTTCGAAGAAGATGATGATGAATATTTGGGATTTGAGCTGATGAACCTATGAAGAACGGTAGATTTTTTTTTTGTGAAGATCGTCGATGAACATATGAAGATATGCAGTGTTTCAACAAGAAGATGGGTTGTAAATGAAGATATATGGTTTGATAATGAAAGACGTTATGCAATTCGGGATTTTTTTCATCTTATTTGAGAGAGAGAGAGAGAGGACCCGTCCTTCTATTTTTTTTTTTTAATTATAAAACAATTAAAACAAATAAAGAAAATATGAAAAATAAATAATAAGGGCAAAATAGTCCTTTCATATTTTCAAGGACCAAAACCAAAGAAAATTCTTGATTTTGGACCTTCCATACAAGTTGAAAACTTTTTGGACCCTATCCAAAGTTTTTTGCAAACCACAAGGACCAATTTGACAGTTTTGTCTAAAATATCGTTCAGAATGTGCTTATGTTAATGCAATTACAATCAAAAGTTAAAGCTAAAAAGAATGTATAGAATTTGAATATATGTTGTTTGTGGGTTTGCCAAAGAACAGAAAAAGTATATTATACAACATCAATCGAAAGTCATATAACAAAGAAAAGTAAAGTATGTGTATGTTGTTCATGTTTAGAAATGCAATTATAATCAACAAAACGTGATTACACTATCTAAATCTAAAATTGAACTCCCCCATGCCCACTTCCGTATCATCGACAAAGTCTTCTTCTTCTACAATAAAGTCTTCATAATCATTATCTAAATCTAAATACCAATCTTTTTCTTCACTTTCTGTCTTTACACAAGGAAGTTGACCCATTTTTTTGAACTAACAACATAGAGGGATCCCATGTTGCCTTCATAATCATTTTAAAAGTTCTCTTTGCGAATGTCATTGTGAAACACGACAAATGGATCAAAATCATGAAATACATCATGGCCATTTTTATAATCCATTTCCTCCTGTGGCCATAATCCAACTGGGCATCATGTATTAGAAAGTTGTAGTATATCGATTCAGCCTTACTTGTGCCATAACCTAATTCAAACCATCCCACAGTTGTTGGGCTCACACTTATGCCCCCAATAATTTGATGCCCTGGGCCAATGCCCAAGCCGCCCAGTACCTGGGCAGGCCCTGGGTATGTGTCATTCTTATAATCTTTAACTCGTTTATTTCTTCTTCATGTGATGATCGATCTGGAAGCATAATCCGGTTAGGGTTAATGAGACTTTTGAGTAGATGAGAAAGATAAAAGGGTTTCTTGGATTTTGTTAAGTGTCATTTAGCGGTAAGTAATTCAAACATAGGACATAACTAATAGGTTTAATAGTGGCAACATAAAACCCCGGAGAGAGAGAGAGAGAGAGAGAGAGAGAGAGAGAGAGAGAGAGAGAGAGAGAGACTAAAATACCATCATATGTTCTCCTTTGACAGACCAGTTTAGATGATATGAGTGCCAATATAGACCTGAAAAATATGTGGTGTCATAGGGTTCATGTCGAGTCAAAATAGTAAACGAGTTAAGAGGGTTTGACCCTAACTCGACTTGTTTAATTATCGCATCGTGTTAACCAGTTTATTTTTGTGTCGAGTTCATATATGATTTCGAGTTAGGATTAGCCTTTGAAATGTTTCATGTCATGTGAGGTTGAAACACTAAACATGTTGCAAGAGTAGGAGTTAGGTAGACGAAAAGTAAAAAATAAAAAAACTGAAAAAAAGTGATAGTTAGCAAGCGGAATGACAAAATTTATAGTAAGTTTAGAGTACAAAATGGAAAGAGTAGAAGTTAGGGAAGCAAATGGACGAGATCATGAGAAGGAGAGAGTAGTAAAGAGACTGTATAGTATGGAAGAGAACGAAAAATATTGAAAATCAAGTCTTGAGTTACAACTAAGTAGTTTCCACGTTACAAACTGACTTAATCAAATGTTTTTCTTTTACATGTGATTTTGTATCATATCCTTCTAGTTTATCTAAAGAATCCAAAAACCTTATATATAAATAAATGCATCATTTTCGAATTGAAATTCTTAACCATAATCTTACTCATTTAATTTTTCTGTCGTGTCGTGTTAACCCCTTTAATTAAACAGGTTAAAATATGATACCCAAACCTATTTATTTCATATCAAATTCATGCTGTGTTAGTTTTTGCAACCTATGCCGTTGGCTGATTGTGCAAAAATTGATAACCACAAGGACGAAATTGATATAAATTGAAAACTTGATTTTTTTTTAATTATAAATCTATAAATGGCTTTACTTTAAAAAATTGACTGGAGGGGCATGAAAGTAATTTGGACTCTCTGTGTCCCTCCTTCTCTTCCCCACAGAAGCGGAATACTCTCTTCTTCCTGTTCGCACCCTCAAAAGGTTCAAACATCAGCAAAATTGCAGATAAAGTCGTTAAATTAACTTCGTAACGTTGATCGAGAGCTATCCTGGAGTACGCTCTGTTTTCAATTCGTTTCCATTGGTAATCTTAATATCTTTCGCTGGTCTTCTCATCCCGGTTTGCGCTTATTATGATCAATTGTAGTTTCCCAATTCTTTTTCTCGTTTTTTTCTTGGTATACCGGTTCTTGCAGACACTAAGTTTGGATTTCTTACTTTAACTGTCTCTGAATTGATTCCTTTGTGTTGAGTAATAAGAGGAATTGAGGTAATTAATCATCTAGGGTTTTTCATTGATTAAGCTTGGAGAAAGGTCGTTTCATCCCAGTTCTCTCTTAATATCATCAATCGTGGTTCTCCGTTCGTTCTGTGATGAATTTTTGTTTATATACTAAGTTGGGTTTTCTTGATTTGGATCTTTGAATATCTTAGTTTTGTATTGGGTTAGGTGGAAGTAAGTTAAGGGGGAGTTTTACCTTATAGCTTATGGTATCTCTGGATTGTTTTTATGCAGGTTAATCTAGGCACATGTTTTAGTACAATATATATTTGCTTTGAATTCTATTCAATAATTATAATGGAAATTATAATGAATCATACTGCTGAGGATAATACTGGAATTCCTGATGATTTACGTTGCAAGAGATCAGATGGTAAACAATGGAGATGCCATGCCATGTCCATGCCAGACAAAACAGTATGTGAAAAACACTACATTCAAGCAAAGAAAAGAGCTGCAAATTCTGCAATGAGAGCCAGTCTCAAGAAAGCAAAGAGGAAATCTGTAGGTGAAAGTGACAGTTATTTAGAGAGTAAAAGCGATGACATGGATTCACCTCTCGTTGAATACCAGTTTTTAGCCTCGGGTAAAAACAAGGAAAAATTATCAAAGAAGCTGATTAGTTATTCACCTGAAACACCTTCCTTCAAGAATTCATCTGTTCATATTTCTTCAAAATCAAATGATGATCCACAAAGAGATATGGCAGAGTCTGAAGAAACACCAAGGGCTTACAGGACACCATCTTCTGTTGCTGATTCATCAAAGAGCAGATCTGAGAAGATGCATGCTATGCCAGTAAGTAGTATCCTACTTCCATTTCTTTCTTTCTATTACAACATTGTAATCCACCCAATCATATCAATACTAAATACAAATGCTATAATTGAATAGATTCTCAAAGTTTTTAAAAGTACAATGCCTTAATAAGTGTAAAGTTGAAATTACAATGAAAAAAGTACTTTCTTTTGTCATACTTTTTGAAGTATAGGCTCATTTTCAGGAAACTTCTGGTGGGA